GCAATCCTACTTCCGTAGTGATACTGCCTCGGAAACCCAAGGAGGGGTCGCTATGAGTCGGGGCTGACTCGACGGCATACAACAACAACAACAACAAAATTTTCATGTCCACCTTCTCATTTAAGCTAATTGTTCCTTTAATTGCTTACTTGTAGCTTCAGGAGAAATAAGTACTAACATTTCTAGGGAGACATGATCTCTACATTGATTCCTAACTATGCATTTCTATGTGTAGAAAATCTAGACTACTTCTCATTTTATATTCTTGGGCTAGTATCTGAGTAGCTCATCAAAGGATCTAAGGGAAATTTGCCCAAAATTAGCCAGCAAGGCATGTACACACTTCTCCTGAGATGGCTGACTATGTGTTCTTTGAAAACTTCCCTTATAAATTCAGGTAGATGTCATGTCTTTGTTTGTGATTTATCTGTATAAAAATATCTGGTGTTGACATTGAAAGCTGAGAGTTACGCTTATTCAAATGTTCATGGCAATTTTATGTGCTTTAATTCAAACTTACAAATTTTGAAGGCAGGATTTGTAACAATTCACATTTTAAAACCAGGCCTTACACATGGCAAGTACTCAGTCAAGATATAAATTTCAAAATCATTATTTCTTGGTATCTTGTTCACTTTACCCACTGCCATCAAGTCAATTCTGACTCACAGCAACCTCCATTGAGTTTCTAAGGCAGTAAATCATTATAGAAGCAGATTGCCCCATCTTCCTTCGACAGAGCAGCTGGTGGCTTTGAACCACCAACCTTGTGGTTAGTAGTCAAATGCCTTAGGTACTTCACTACCAGAGCTCCTTCCTGTTCACTTTATATCCCTTAAATGAATGTTCCTCTTGGCAAAATGTCAAATATTCACACTGTTTACTTTTACCAAATAAGAAATTATTTGAGTATGGTAGCACTGGAACCTAAATGGTTAATGACAGCCAGACCTAAAGTATGGTGGAAAAGGTTTTCACTGAGCACATGATTCTGATAAAAGAGGTATTATAAGCATGGAGGGAGCTCTGGTAGCATAGTGCTAAGGCACTTGACTGCTAACCAGAAGGCTTGTGGTTCATACCCACCAGCCTCTCCTCAGAAGGAAGGTTGGGCAATCTACTTCCGTAGTGATACTGCCTCGGAAACCCAAGGAGGGGTCGTTATGAGTCGCGTCTGACTGGGTGGCAAATAACAACAACAACAACAACATAAGCATGGAGGCCCATCCACCTTTACATCTGCATATGTGCTCACCTTGTCATCTGGTTTGCCAGATGTTGCTGTTACACCAGCAACAACACTCTTTCCATCAGCAGAAATCGTGTCCTTTGATTTACTCTAAGGGTGGGGATAAAAGAATGACAAGACTAAGTATTTCTGGATAACCACTTTTGAAATCATGAGTTTCAAATATCACTACATCTATTATACCCTTGTGGACATCATTATAGAGAAATATTTACTAGCTTCTACTGTGCAAGGTGTAATACTGGGCACCATATAAAGCTGGACTCAGGTGCCTAGACTACCAACTTTATTTACCTTTGGTTCTGTTGATTTCTCTGTTGTAAGCTGCTCACTTGACCTGGAAACTGCTTTTTCTTTCTGCGCATGCTTGCTGCCTGTATCTGATGTATGTGTGGGCAAGCTTTTGGGCTGAAAGCACACACACACAGACACATAACACTGTTAACAAGATAATAGTTTTAAACATAATTCTGATGCTTTTCTCTATGGAGTAACATAAATAGGTGAAGTGGGCCAGGAAGGGACTGTGGTAAACTGGAAAACATATAAGTGAAAAAAGCCAAACCCACTGCCATTGAGTTGATTCCAATTCATAGTGACCGTACAGGACACAGCAGAATTTCCCCAAAGGTTTTCCAATGCTATTATCTTTATAGAAGCAGACTGCCACATCTTTTTTCCCACAGGGTGGCTAGTGAGCTTGAACTGCTAATCTTCCAGTTAGCAGCTACCACTGCACCACCAGGGTGCAGAGCATATATACTAGGTATAAAGGCTATATAGTCAATTGAAGCTAGACATGCTGGCTTCTCAAGAGATATGAATAATTTTCATTTTACGTGAAATATCCTGACTTAAATTGTTGACCACCATTAAAAAACAATTTTAATACTATAAACCAAACAAAATACATGTGTGGCAGCAGTTAACTAGAGAGCCACATATTTGTGATTTCTGATATAAAGCATATTGTTCAGTAGACCTAGCTCTTGTCTTCCAAGAGCTCATAATGGAAAAGGTCTTTTCATAGACATTTATTCTTCTGAAAGTTGAGTTGATCACCGTTAGCTACAGAATTATATATTTCTGATTTTTGGCTCTATAAGTTCATCTCTTCTACAACAAGGCTCTAAACACTTTTCCAATTAAAGCCGCAGCCCATGCAGAGCACCCATGTTGCCACAGCTGATGTGTAGAGGGGTCTAGAAGGCACCTTCAAGCCAAAGCCTCCTGCCTGTTAGGAGCCACAGGGTGATGCCTTCCAGTCAGCCGGCCATTGCTGCACGGGAAAGAAGGCTGGACTGTGCACCCCTGGACCAGTGCTGCCTTCCTTGGCCTTTATAAAGCCTGAGTTTCTACAAAATTATTTCCAAGTCAATAAAACAATAGCACTAAATCATTATAATACACAACATATTCAGTATAATGCAGAGATTCAAATACATGGGTCAATGTGAATAGGGGACCCCTATTTTATTATCTGGGAGCTCTGGTGGCATAGTGCCTAAGGCATCTGACTGCTAACCAGAAGGCTGGTGGTTCAAACCCATCAGCCACTCCTTGGAAGGAAGGTTGGGCAATCTACTTCAATAGTGATACTGCCTCAGAAACCCAAGGAGGGGTCGTTATGAGTCAGAGCCAACTCTATGGGAGTGGTTTTTATTTTATTTTATTACCTAGCTGATGTTAAAAAAAAAAAAAAAAAATACCAGCAGCTATGGAATAGACTCCAACTCATGGTGACCCATGTGTATCAGAGTAGAACAGAGTAGAACTATGCTCCACAGGGTTTTTACTGGCTGATTGTTCAGAAGTAGAAAGCAGTAGATTTTCTTCCAAGGTGTCTCTGGGTGAACTTGAACCTTTAACCTTTTGCTTAGCAGCTGAGTACATTAACCATCTACACCATCCAGGGACCCCCCCTGATGTCAGCATTTTCCTTTCTACTAACTTGCTTTATTTACCTTTGATTCTGTTGATTTCTCTGTTGTAAGCTGCTCACTTGATCTGGAAACTGCTTTTTCTTTCTGCACATGCTTGCTGCCTGTATCTGATGCATGTGTGGGCAAGCTTTTGGGCTGGAAGCACACACACACAGACATATAACACTGTTAACAAGATAATAGTTTTAAACATAATACTGATGCTTTTCTCTATGGAGTACAAACAGTTCATCGCAGCAGTTGTGTTTTAGTGGTTTTGAACGGATGAACTGGAATTAATGTGATATAAAAATGTATTGATACAATTTCAGTTTAGGTACAAAATTTGGAATAATAGAAGAATTTTAAATTCTTCCCCTGAAATTCAACAAGAATCAATTTCAATGTTTAAGTGCTGAATAAGTTGTAAACCTTGATATTGCCACATGATGGTGCCATTTTAGCCTAAAAACAAACGCGAGGCACCCTCTACAAGGCTAAATCTTAAACAATGTAAGTTTTGAATTACCTCTCAAAAGGAAAATCTCTTCATGTTAAAATATGAAGTCCTAATGGTCATTATTTTACCTCTCTGTGTTCCTTTGGCTTCTCTTCTTGGGATTTTTTCTCATGAACCACAGGTGGCTGTCAATTTTAAAAAATAAATACTTAATTGCATTGTTTTTAGATTTCCAAATAGGTTTGAAGAACAAAAATCCATCCCAATTATATCATTTTGCCTCTTTTAACAAATCTCATTTAGGCCTAGTTCTTTTGGGATCTGAGAAGCTGACAGGTACTGTCTGACACCAGCAGTATCTAAAAATGACAGCAGAAGAATAATGAAAAACTAAGCATTTCATCTAGAATGATGTTTACAGATATGTAGGTACTTCTCAATTACTAGTTATTATTCATAATTCACACAAATATTTTGGTAACTGCAAGTTTATCTGCAGAGAAGGCAAATGATAAGTCGGATCTGAGTTTGCAGACAGGGGATCCTACTCTAGAAATTTGAGTTTTAAAAAATCTCCTTCCACAGGAGATGAACAGCATTGTCTTTATGCAGCATTTTTTTTTTTTTTAATTTAATGATTTATAGAATATTTTCTCAATTCCTTTGAGATTTGTAGATAACCCAAAGCATTTAAAGTGGAGTACAGGACAACTTTCACTGAGCTGCTAAATTCTTCCCTCCTGCAATTACCAACGTGATGGTGGAACCAACCAAACCAAACTCACCGCTGACTCATAGCAACCCTTCCTTGGGTTTCCGAGGCTGTATCACTAGGGAAGTAGATTGCCCAACTTTCATTCTGAGGAGTGGCTGGTGGGTTTGAATGGCTAGCCTTCTGGTTGGCAGTCAGGAAAGGGGATTATCAGGATGCCCTTCAGATAATTAGATAAGCCTTATCTTTCACCCCAGTGACCTCACCCTCACTTGCACATAAAGTACTTTGACCAAAAAAAGCAGCTTTCTGTTTTCCAACAGAAAACCTTGTGGTCCTATCTGAATATTCCCGTAAGCACTGGAAAAATAAAGCTCAATATCTTAAGAGGAGAAACATTTGGCCTGCCTGCAAACACCCCGCTGGACAACCCCAAGACAGGAAAGGCATTCGCAAAGGAAATTCACAGCCTCTCCTCAGTAAGCAACAACTTGCTCCACTACCCGAGATAAAACAGTCCAGACAAACATAGCTAGAATCTTAGGCAACTTTACTCATCTTTTGGTTATCTAGCTGCTGCATTCAACAGATTGTTGTTCTTGTTGTTATGTGCTATCGAGTCGGACCCGACTCATAGCAACCCCCCCCTTGGGTTTCTGAGGCAGTGTCACTACGGACGTAGATTGCCCCAGTCTTCCTTCCGAGGAGTGGCTGGTGGGTTTGAAGCACCAGCCTTCTGGTTAGCAGTCAAGTGCCTTAGGCACTATGCTACCAGAGCTCCCATTCAACAGATTAGTATTGATGTTTTATCCTCAAAGTAATTGGACATGCTTTTTACTACCCTTTGTTCTTTCTCCTTTATTTCTCTAGCTGTATTTTTAAAACAATTATTTCACCTATAACAAAAATCAATATTTGGACAAAACGCTTTCTGAAATACATTGTTTTGTCAGTAAGACATTATATATTCATTTATCCATATATGGATTTCATGTCATAACTATTTTATATACATTTTACATAATTATATTAAAAAGAGTAGTCCGAAATTAATTCTTTGGCTGACAGAAATTCCTTATCATTTAGTAGCACCAATGTAGGAAACTGGTTATTAATTGCATATTCTTACAAAAAAATCCAAAATGACAATCACTTACCTTAGTTGACTGTGACTGTTTTTCAGGTTCTGTTTTTACAGCCTGCATTTAGAAGGAAAAAAAGAAAAAAGAAGACATAGCTTTTTAAGATTATCATAGATTTTCCTCAACTAAGGAAGCTCAAAAAAGATGATTTTGATCTAATCTAAACTTTATGAATTGACTTTATTACATTTTTGAATTGGAACGCTAGACAAGCATTTAAGCACAGTAATAATCTTCTCTTACTGGTGGCATTTGGCTGCTAACCAAAAGGTCTGCAGTTCAAATCCACCAGCTGCACCACAGGAGAAAGATGTGGCAGTCTACTTCCATAAAGATTTACAGCCTTGGACAGCCTATTGGGCAGCTGTACTCTGCCCTACAGGATTGCTATGTGTAAGAATTGACTTGATAGCAGTGGGTAATATTCCTCTCCTACTATTCAGACAGCACTTTACACTTTACTTCTTACTATGCATAGCAAAGAGATGTAAAGATTAATTATAATGAACATTGCAGTGAGTACACTGGAAAAATAAACAAAAACAAAGTTATCCTTCAAAGCCAAGGGTATTGTGTTTCAAAGCCACTAAGTGATCTCTTTATTAGTGAATACTTGCCACAGATTTCAGCTGACAGTTTGAAACAGTGGGATGGTGACAGAATGGAGGGCACAGAAAGCCATGAAATTTATTTTTAGTGCCAGGATGTGAGCAGTAGGTAACTATTTCTACCAAAAAGGCCATGACAGGGTTAGAGCATGACAGAAGATTGTGAGCCCCCATGATTAGCACGTGCTGAGTGACTGAAGTGGCCATTAGTAAACAGATGTCCAATACAATAAACCACGTCACCTGCTTCTTGTGTCTTTTCTTATTAGGAGGAAGTGGTCCTTCTATCTGTTTGTTGATTAGAATGACCTAATGTTAGCACATTCCCAATAAGGTTTACCAGAACTGCCAGGAAAATTTATCTGACAGTCCAATAAATAAAATGTATCAACAGGGCTAAAACGTTTATAGCAAGGTCCTCTCCGGTTCAATCCAATGCAAAAAAGTTACAGGAGTATAAATCCTGAGGTCTCAAAGTATCTCAGTTAGGGTTTACTTTATTCAGTGAAACAAAATCAGTAATATTTTCAATAATAAAAGTGATTGCTGTTCCCTTTCCTTTCCTGCTCTGTGTAAAGGCTGCTTAAGCCGTATTATTTCTCACCTACACTTCTAATGTTGCTTGTTTGCTTATGATCAAGTATCCACAGGTTGCCTTTACAAGTTTTCTGAAGTTCAGTCAACATAACCACAGAACAATTTTATAAATAATTAGTGCATGGGTTTTCACTGTACATATCATAGCCCTGTATGCAGAGATCTAAACTAAAATTCTAGGAATGCTTCTGCATAGCTGGTTGTATGTAGGACCTTTAGTGTGGTATTTTACAGAATTTAGATTAATCTTTACCCAACCAAATGTTATCTGTGCAAAAAAAAAAAGACAATTCCTTAAGTACACACACACATTCTCAATACAGGCAAGACATGAAAACTTGTTTAAATATTTCATGAAATTCTCAAAGAAAAACAAAATATTAGGTCTAATGCTTTTTTGACATTTCTCTTTTACCTGACTGATAGTATCTGCACAAACTTCTATTATTCTATTATCTGTGGAGGCTAAAGCCAAAAACCCTACAGAGCACAGTTCTACACTAATATAAACAGGGTCGCCAAGAGTTGGGATTGACTTGATGGCAACTGGTTTGTTGGCTGGTGCTTCAGTAATAAAGATACATGCTTTCCTTACCTAATGGCCCTTGTTATGCCAACATAATTGTTTTGAGAGGGAAAAAGAGTTTATGATCAAAAAAAGTTTTAAAGGGAATTTTAAAATTTGGGTCCTTTCAAACTGCCTCCTTGGTAATAAATTCTGCTCATGCTATTATCCTTTCTTGAGTTTATGAAAATGCAGTTCACTAGATGATTAACAAAGAAAATAAGCCATTAGGATTGTAGTGGTTTAAATCTATTAATAGCTTCCAATGTGTGATTTGACAAGATTTTGCATGGAAGAATTATATAGTACAATTGAGAATGTATGCTCACAGATGAAAGCAGCATATAATGAAATGTACAGTTTAATCAGTAATCAATAAAACACTTTCCTAAATTTATTTTTTGGTGGTACTGAAAATATCAACGATGACAATAATTATTACTTAATATCTTAAAAAAAGAGCTACTCCAACTGAAAGGGACAATAACTAAAATGAGAACCACAACAGAAGGACTTAGCAACAGACTTAATCATGCAGAAGAAAGAATAAACAAATTAGAGGACAAAATAGTTAAATTTACTGAGTAAAGAGCAACAAAAACAGAGGTTCAAAAAGGCTGAGCACACTTTAATGAAATTAAGGGATAACAAGAGACCTACTATATGTGCCATAGGAATTTTAGAAGGAGATGAGAGAGAGAAAGGAACAGAAAAAGAAATTATTTTTAGAGATACTATATGTTTATTGTTTAAGCCATTAAGTTTCAGGGCAATTTGTTACACAGTAGTAGATAACTATTATGACATTATTAATGAAAAAGAGCCTCAGCACATTCACCATCTGGAGAAATGACATACTCTATCAGCATTTACCACAGAATCTGCAGAGAATTTTGACCAAGGGGCCTCTTAGACAGCAGCCAGAGGGTTTTTGTTGTTGTTGTGTTTTGCATGTTACGATCTGGGCAGAAAGAATATTCAAGGGAATAATGACAGAACATTTCACTAATTTAACAAAGGACATGAATGTACAAATCTAAGAAGCTCAATGAACCTCAAGCAGGTTAAACCCAGAGATATACACCAAGACACATCATAGTTGGGCTCTCAGAAAGTAAAGATAAAAGAGAATCTTGAAAGCAGTGAAAGAGAGGCAAACACTCACATTCAAAGTCTACGCAATAAGATTAAGTGCCAATTTCTCCTCAAAATACTGGAGACCACAAGGCAACCAAGTAACATACTTAAGAAGTACAGAAAGAAAAAACTACCAATCAAGAATACTATACCTAGCAAAACTGTTCTTCAAGACTCATTGCCATCGAGTCAATTCTGACTCACAGCAACTCTACAAGACAGAGTAGAACACAGGGTTCCCACGGCTATAAATCTTTACAGAAGCAGACTGCCTCATCTGTCTCCCACAAAGTAGCTGGTGGGTGTGAACTGCCAACTTTTTGGTTACCAGCTGAATGACTTAACTACTGTACCACCACAGTTCCTTGTCCTTCAAGAATGAGGGTGAAATTAAAACATTCCCAGACAAACAGAAGCCGAGAGAGTTTATATCTACCAGTCTGTCCCTAAAAAAATACTAATGGGGTTTCTACAGATGGAAGAGAAAAGACTCTAGAAAACAATTCAAAGCTATACATAAAAAGGAAGATCCCTAAAATAAAGGGAACTGCATAAGCCTTGGTGACACAGTGGTTAAACTACTCAGCTCTAACCAAAAGATCAATGGTTCTAACCCACGAGCTGCTCTGTGGAGAAAGATTCAACAGTCTGCTTCCATAAAGATTTATAGCCTTGTAAACCCTGTGAGGCATTTCTACTCCATAGGGTCACTATGAGTCAGAATTGACTCAACAATAGTGGATTTCTGGACAAGTATGAGGGCAAATAATAAGGAATTCATGTTTGATAATTCTAACTGTTTTATCCCTCATGCTTTTAATAAAAAATATATAAAAAGCCATGACAAAATGATGTTACAGGGCATATGAAATAGAAAGACATAATTAGTGTTAACAACAACAAAAGCAAGGAGAGATATAGAATTCCTTTTATTATTGACATTAAGGTGGCACCAACCTATCCCAGCATGTTATAAACACAAGTTGGTAAATTTAACATACATGGTAACCAGTAAGAACATATCTAAAAAACATACACAAAGGGAAAGGAGAAGGGAACCAAAATGGCTCACTACAATAAACAAGCAACACACAAAAGCAAGCAGTAGTGAAAGACAAAAAGGCTTAAGATACCCACACAAAAAACAAACAAACAAAAACAAGTAACAAAATAGCAGAAATCACTTCTTACCAGTACACACGGTGAATTTGAATGGACCAATAATTATTGCATAGTGATCAATCAGGTAATGATTACTGTTCTAAGCTTTACATGTGCCAACTCATTTAATTCTCACAATAACACAATGAGGTAAGTATTATTATCTCCATTTCACAGATGAGAAACTGAGGTACAGAGCACTCATGGTGGAGCTGGGGTTGTGTGTTCTCAAGCATTGTGCTGCACTGTCCCTCCACTTGCTGTGGGGACAGGCTCTGTGCAATGTGTCTAAATGCATGTTTCCTCACCCAGCCTTGTGAGATAGGTACTACTATCATCCTTTTACACACTGTACAGAAAAGAAAATGAAAGCAAAGAGAGGATGTTCAAATTCCCAGTCACTGTGGAACCAGGATTTAAAGGTGGCCTGGCTATTTTGCTCCTGTACCCCTTCTACATAGCCCTTCAGCATTCTTATCCTGATCAGCAACGAATGGACCTTATTACACTGTCAGCTGTGTGACCAGATTCTAACACGCTAGAAGCAAGGGAGGTAGGATTCAGATCTAAACACACCAGCCTCTTCAAAGCTAGACTAACTTTCATTTAAAGGTACAGACAATGGCAGGATTTGGCCTCGGCATCATCTTGAAAAGCATCTTTTCTGTAAGAGACCAAACTATTTGGAGCTTGCACAAATCCCCAAGAGGAGGCTAGTACTGATGTTATCAGCCAAATATCAGAAGACATGAACATAAAATTATTAATAAAGTAGTGTGATTTAAACTCACAATGCAAAAGAATCCAGGCCAAAATTGTGCCAAGTCAGCTACTGGTGACACCTCATTATATGTATCACATTTTTGTCTCTCCCTGTCTTCTCATGATTTCTGCTACTTTGCCTCTCTCTCTTCCCTTCCCCCTGGTTTCATAGGTCTGCCAGGAATTCTCTTGATTAATAAATAGTGAGGCTGAAGAGTTTGCTGACACTTGTTCTAGATAACAGCGCACACTTGAAATAAGCTACAGTGCAGTGAATTGCTTAATATGGCCCTAACCAGAAGGCTGGTGGTTCGGGCAACCTACTTCATAGAGATAGTGCCTCGGAAACCTGAGGAGGGGGTCACTATGAGTTAGAACCAACTCTACGGCAGTGAGTTTGAGCCTTAGTCTTACATTTTGTGATATACTGTAAATACTAGCCTCTATGTGGCACAGTGCCTAAAGCATTTGACTGCTAATCACAAAGTTAGTGGTTCAAACCCACCAGCTGCTCCATGGAAGAAGATGAGGCAATCTACTTCAGTAAAAATGTACTGGCTTGGAAACCCAATGTGGGTCACTATGAGTCAGAATCAACTCGATAGCAGTGGGTTTGGTTTGGGTTTTGGATGCCTGTTTAGGATGGGATGTATCTTGAGTCCCACCTTGCTGGAGGGTGTGACTCAAGTCACCACCTTCAGTTTTCCTGAGGTTATAATGTGAATACTCTGGCAAAGTTTGTGCTCTCTTGCTCCAGATCCTACATTTGGTTCTTTATCTTCTCAACCTGGGTCTTGAGACAGGGGCCAGTTATCTGACCTGCCAATTTGGGTTTGCCAGCCCCTGCAGCCATGTGAGTGAGGAGAATCCTCCAAACCTATGCCTGACCCATGGATTTGGGACTTGCCAACCTTCCCGCATCCATCACTGAGTGAGCCATTTCCTTGGCAGTGTGTGAGTTCTGTGAGACGTTACAGCAAAATACAGAACTGTAAAATGGGAGATAAAGTACTGAGAGGGTGAGGAGGAGTTGATATTAAAGATGGAGTGGTACAGCAGTTTGGGAAAGCTGGACATTTGGGACATCTTTAACCTCTGCCTCATAGGGACCAGCCTTGTGGTAATCCTTCTAAAAGAAATTATTCAAGCATAAGCCTTGGTCCCAGAGTTGAAACTGTCAGGGTGGGATGTAGGAGAATCAGGAAAAAAGTCAAATGTGACCCAAAAGAATAAAAAAGAAATCTTAGTTTTGTGACTCTCTTTTCTTTAGTTTTCATGGACTCTAAGTTCAATAAGAATTTTTTTTTAGGATAGGTGCTTTCTCTTACAGTCTTTCAAGATTGTTGTTGTTGTTACGTGCCATGGAGTTGCACCCGACTCATAGCAAAGTTTCTGAGGCAGTATCACTACAGAAGTAGATTGCCCCATCTTCCTTCCGAGGACTGGCTGGTGGGTTTGAAGCGCCAGCCTTCTGGTTAGTAGTCAAATGCCTTAGGCACTAAGCCACCAGAGGTGATTTTAAATAGGGGCAATTTAATAAAATTGGAGCTGGGGTGACTCTCAAAGGCACTAAAGAATATTGGCTCATAAGTATTAGTTAAGTGTACTTTGAAAATGTTCCCTCTTTAATCCCTACTCTGGAATACTCCCTCCAAAACAGTGCTTGAGACACTGTAACTAAGGAATAGGGCTTAAAACACCTTGCAGACAACTCTTCAAACAAAGGTTTACCTATGTGACAATCTCATTAAGAAGACATTCTTTTTTCTTTAGAATCCCAAGAAATGATTATTAGAATAAATTCCAAAATACAGCTCAACAAAGGTTTATCAGTAAGATGGTATCTTATGATTTACTTTTCTCATTTATATATATATATATATATATATATATACACATACATACATATACACACACACATACATTTTAAAGCCAGAAAAATAAAACCATTTTACCAAGAAGTCAATACATATTCTTTTTTAATCCAGAGAAATGTACCAAAAGAGATTCTCTGACAATTAAAAAACTTCATTATGTCTAAGACCAAAAATCTCTAGGTGACTACTATTTTCTAAGGATTCTAAACTAATGTAGGTATGCACAAATAATGGTTGAGGTAAATACTGGGTGAAGGAAAATAGATCTTCTTAAGCCTCTTAAATTAGGAAGAAAATGTTTACTTTCATAACTTGAGCTTCCTGGAACACAAAACTCACCTGTTAGCAATTATTCTACATTTCTTTTCGTTTACAATATAATCAATTATTCACTCAAGTTAAGCACTGAAGGCTTTTCATACCTTGGATTCTGTAGGATTCATACTAGAAGATTTGCTGGTTGCAGCAGAGGCAGCAGATACCTAGAAGGAAACAGAAAATTTGACTATAATTAACCTACAAGCTACACTGTTCTTCAGCTCCTTCATAAGCCATATTGTTATTATTAGCGGCCATGTGCTCAGGTGAAACCCGTCAGCATCATTCAAATCCTAGGGAGCTCTGGTGGTACTGTGGGTAAGGCATTTGGCTACTAACCAGAAGGTCCATAGTTCAAAGCCACCGGCTGCTCCATAGGAGGAAGATGAGGCGATCTATTTCCATAAAGATTTATAATCTTGGAAACCCTACAGGGGTCTCTATAAGTAACACAAGATCCTCCACCACTGCTATGGCTGCACATGAGGTGGTGGTCAAGAATCAAAGCTGGGTCTCCCACAGAAGGTGAGAATTCTATCACTGAACTACCAATGCCTCACTCTTAACCCATGCTGGCCCTTAACTCTTTATCTTGGTCTTACCTACTTTAGAGCACCAGATCCTACAACAACCAGTGGCTGGTGTTACCTAGTGGGTGCTGAATATGGGTTCAAATTTTATAAAACATTTTACAAATTTCACAAAATAATCTTGGGCAAATTAATTTTCTGAGTTTCCATTTCCCATGCCTCAATTTCTTTCGGTATATTAAAACTGCTTTTTAAGTTTATTGAGCATCCTAGTGGCACAGTAGCTAAAGCTCCTGGCTGCTAGCTGAAAGACCAGAAGTTCAAACCCTCCAGCCATTCTGCAGGGGAAATATGTGGCAGTCTGCTCCTGTAAAGATTTCAGCCTTGGAAACCCTACGGGGCATTCAACTCTGTCGTACAGGGTCTCTATAAGTCATAATCAACTCAATGGCAATGGGTTTGGTTTGATTGTAAGTTTATTATAAGAATTATTTCCTGGCACATAATAACTGCTCAGTTTTGGTTTGTGGCTTAAGTATGATTATAATTACTATTTGTGTTATTTTTAGAAACAATATGGACTTTGAAACTCGACAGATTTGGGCTCAAATTCCAACTCTGCCTCTTATTAGCTGTGTGACTTTGAGCCTTAGTTTTCCAGGCATATAAAATGGGACAATAACATCAAATTTGCAGTGTTGTAAATATTTGAGGTAATGTGTATAAAATGTCTGGTACATGGTGGGCATTCATTAAATTTAACTACTGTATTATTTCTAAGATCTTACGCAAAATAGAAAAACCAAGAACATAAACTCTGGGAAGTAGATTTGGGTGGATTAGAATTGTCCTTTTAGTGTTATATAAGTAAGACAAGGCAGGAGAGAGGGTTGCAGAAGGAACTTTGCAGTAATATCTGTCTCATGTGGGCTCCCCACTAGAGGGCAGGAAGAGATGAATGGGAACTGAAGTAGTCAAGGAACACCTTTCCCAGGGATACAAGGTGGTGGTGGAATCAACCCCTGTACTCTTCATCACCTAAGCAGTAGGATGTGCATGTAGATACATGCATGGTACTAGGCATTATTCTAGTGCTTGACTTGTATTACACTGGTGAGTATTAAATTGTTGTTGTTATGTGCCATCGAGTCAGCCCTGACTCATAGCGACCCCTCCTCGGGCTTCTGAGGCAGTATCACTACGGAAGTAGGATTGCCCAACCTTCCTTCTAAGGAGTGGCTGGTGGGTTTGAACCGTCAGCCTTCTGGTTAGCAGTCAAGTGCTTTAGCCACTATGCTACCAGAGCTCCCGAGTATTAAATAGACAATTAAAAAACAAACCAAACTCACTGCTGTTGAGTCGGTCCCGACTCACAGAGACTCCTCTTTTGGTTTCCGAGGCAGTATCTCTACAGAAGTAGATTGCCCAATCTTCCTTCTGAGGAGTGGCTGCTGGATTTGAACCACTAGCCTTTTGGTAAGCAGTCAAATGCCTTAAGCACTATGCCACCAGCGCTCCCAGACAATTAACATTCTTAAAAATTCCAACCAGGATCATTTCAACCTCCCAAATTTGAGTCCATTAGGCTTTAGAGTCCAGGGATTCCATTTGGCACAAGCAGGCTTCTTAAGTAGCCAACTGTCAGTAAACAGCTGCTGCCCTGGCAACACTACCTGGAGAATGCAAACTTCACTCTGCTCTAATGCCTGGCCCTGAGTCACTTCAGAGGCTGAGTCACAGAGCAAGATGGCCTGTTTCTCCCAGTGCCCCACCCCCAACACTACAGCTCAAGGGAGTGGGCTGGATGAAACCCACTATAACCTATGGCCCATGAATAAAAGCAGCTTTCTCACAGCCTGCAGTTAATGTAGAACATGTTGATGACCATAATTAAAGCTAAATTATTGTAATTTATATCTAAAAGTCCAAAGCTTTAGTATACCGATTTTCCAAATATAATCATATGAACTTAATTATTTTCAAACACTCTTAGTCATCATTTGGGCACCTTCCCTTTCTTATCCCAGTACACACACACACCCCTGGGTCAGGGGATGGAGCCTTATTCACATTCTGTTTTGGATAAAGAACAGAAGATGTGCCAAGGCATAATTCCCTCTATCAAATTAATCGGCAAATATATGAATGTCCATTTTTCATTGAGAACAATTTTTAGACAATTTGTGGGGATAAATGTCCCCTTATTTATATAATTATGTCTTTCCACATTAGTATTGATTGTATAAATTTCCATTTAAACTTAAGAAGCTCCACTTTGCTGCATCCCATTCCTTCAAAGATTTCCCTCAACCATACAAAACCGCCAAAGAAACCAAATAGTCTACTATAATAGACTACAATAGTCACTTATTTTTTAAATATTCAAATTTAATAACACATTCATAAAAATCACATAGCTGTGAATTTTACAACCTTAGATTTTATTAAACAATATCTGGATATAATGCTCAAGTGCCAGAAAGAAAACAGCTTTCAAAGAACCACGAAGTATAGTAAAATGTCTACCCACAATAGCTATAAATAATTATGAACCAAAACCAAAAACCAAATTCACTGCTGTTGATTTGATTCGGAATCATAGCAAACTCTCCTTGGGTTTCTGAGGAGCTATCTCTACAGATCCCATGAGAGCACAGACTAGGCAATTTCTAATCTCTACAGAAGTAGATTGCCCCATCTTCCTTCCGAGGAGTGGCTGGCGGGTTTGAACCACCAGCCTTCTGGTTAGCAGTCACATGCCTTAGGCACTACGCCACCAGAGCTCCTTCATAAATAAGCATGAAGCACATTATAATGGGAACTCAGCTGAAGGCCCTGGCCCCATCTGCTCCTAGCATAGGTTCCTCTATGAAAGTTTTATCTCATGACTAAGGTGGTAGACATTTTGAAACTAAAATATGAAAGCTACTTCATCAGGGCTGGAAACAAAGGAAGCATCTCCCTCCTGTCCCTGATCAATTAATTTAATTTTGGCTTACTAAATTTTAGTATATCTATAAAAACAAGGAACTTTCAGTACTTGTTACCTCTGTTATGGGAAAGAAGATACTTTTAAATCCTTTTGTACAGTTTGAATTTCTAATCATGGGTATACATAATTTTATACAGTTAAAAAGTTTTGAAAAGTTAATTCATTTATCACTGCCTTAGGAAGAACCTTAGAGATCAACTTTAATGTATTTATTTTAAATGATGAGGCAAACTGAAGCTCACAGAGTTTAAGTGATCTGTCCAAGGTTTACCACAGTTGACTGGCTCTGCAAATAGTTATCTACAATCCATGCTAGGCACCAGGGACAGTTTGTGCCAGGTACTGTGCTAGATGTGGGGACATACTGGTGAACCCTCTTAACATATCCCTGCCCTTGTGAAAGTTACAGCCTAGTTACAGATGACATGAATAGAACAGCCACACTAATCATTACTCCTGGCAAACTCTACAAAGGAAAATCACAGGGTCCCATGAGAGCATAGACTAGGCAATCAGAGCTAGTCCAAAGGTCAGGTGAGACTGAGGAAGAGATAGTTAATGTGGTAGCTGAAGGATAAGCAGACAAAAGGCTGGGAAGGAGCATTCCATGCATGAAGAGCTGTGTGAGCCAGGGCTGGGACCCAGGTCACCAGATTTCTAAACCAGGGCCCTCTCCTGCAGCCTCTACTACTCAGCCAATCCTGCTAACATCAGGAGGCAGCCAGCAGCAGAGCACAAGAATCAGAGCACACACACCAAAGTATCTACATGAGACTGATGCTGTCAGGCTGGAGAGCAGCTCTATTTTCCCTCCCACATGATCTATGAAAATACATTAGTATCACAAGAACTGATTAATTTATAATTATTTATAATCTTGAGGTGAGGCACAAATCAGGGTAACAGAGAACAGAGAAAGTCCCTTGATAATATATCATCCTCCACCTACCCACCCATTTAACAACTGCTATGTAAAAAGCATTGAGGCAGAGCATAAGAATACACAATGAATAAAAGAGATGATCATGGCCTTGGAAGAGCTCACAGTCCAGAGAAATTATTAGACATGAAGCAGGTTTATGTTACAGTGAGTGCTCTGAGTTATGAAGAGAATCCTATATAACCAAACAGACATTTGAGTTCTAAGTCTATACAGGCCCATCTTTCAAATCTGGTCACACAGTGCCTAAGGCATTTGACTGCTAACCAGAAGGGTGGCAGTTCAAACCTCTGAAGGAAGATTGGGCGATCTACTTCTGTAAAGATAGCGCCTCAGAAACTCAAGGAGGGATCGCTATGAGTCACATCCGACTCATGGCAGTGAGGTTTTTTTTTTTTTTTTTTTTTTAGGTTAAGAAGCCCTGGTGGCATAATGGTTAAAGTGCTCAGTTGTGAAATGAGAGGTCAGTGATTCAAACCCACCCAGTGGTTCTGTGGGAGAAAAGACCTGGTGATCTGCTCCTATAAAGATTACAGCCTAGGAAACCCTATGGGGCAGCTCTATTCTGTACAACATGGTTACTATGAACAGGGTGGACTCAATGGTACACAACAAAAACATTGTTAGGCTGCATTAAAATAAACCAGTATTGATTTAAACAAACAAACAGCTTAGCTGCAGCACAGAAAAATGGATTAAGTA